TGGATATAAATCTTCGTTACTTAATTTTTTTTTTTCTGTTTTACAAAAATGTCTGATACTAATGAAAATATTATATTTTACTTATATACTCGAAAATATCCTTGAGGCTTAGTTCTACCCCAATAATAATATTTTTTTAAATAATTAACAAAAAAAAAAATATTTAGAATCACTATTAAATTTTTACTTTTTAATTTTAATTTTAATTTAATTGTCCCTTAAATTATAACGAAAAAAGTAATAATCCGTCCTTACCTCTTGATAAACGATTTAATATATTTTTTAAGAACTCGTGCCAATTTAAATATATATTTCAACGTTCTAAAATATATTCACTCAAGTTGTGGAATAAAACAAAATTAAGAAATGAATTAATTCTAAAAGACCCAACACAATTTTTTTATTTATTTATTATTAATTAAATAAGATAAGGAATCATATGGTTGATTGAAGAAGGAAGGGGTGAATCACATTTTCTATAATTTATTTATTTAAAGTTTTTGTCTTTTTCCGTCTTTTTCAATTGATACACTTGTTTCAATGACTATGATTTATTCAATATTTTTATTCAATGTTTAGCTATACGCAAGGTTGAGAGTTGACGAACTAAGCTCGTAATTTAACTGTGTACGTCATAGATGGACGAACTAAGCTCGTAATTTAACTGTGTACGTCATAGATGAATCGCCCAATTTGGAATTGCATTTTTTCGAGATAAATAAAGGTGAGAGTAGCAGAGACGTAGAACAAAAATGAAGTGAAGATGGAGATTGCTTCATTTTCCTTTCTTCTTCTTCTTCTACCTCTAATCTTCATCATTCTCAGGCACATCAGTTCATCTTCAAAACAGCCGCCACTTCCTCCGGGTCCAAAGCCATGGCCGATTCTTGGAAATCTCCTTCAGATTGGTCAAAACGCCCACATTTCAATGACCCAATTCTCTCATATCTACGGCCCTTTAATCTCCCTCAAGCTCGGAGCTCAGCGCCTGGTGGTCGCTTCTTCACCGGCCGCCGCCGCCGCCATTCTCAAGACTCAAGATCGCCTTCTGTCTGCTCGATACATTTTCCAAATGACCCCTGATCGACCTCTGCACGATAACTGCTCGCTTCTTTTCTCACCGGAATGCGGCGATCGTTGGAAGAATCTGAGATCCATTTGCAGAGCCAAATTGTTTACAGCGAGAGCGATCGAATCCCAAGCCAGTTTGAGAAGGAAGAAGATGAATGAAATGGTGGAGTTCTTGCAGTCAAAACAGGGATCTGTGGTGGAGATTAAAGAACTTGTGTTTATTACTGTTTTCAACACTCTTTCTAACTTCATCTTCTCTAGGGATTTGGTTGGTTTTGTGGGTGATGGGTTCAATGGGATTAAAGGGCCTTTCAAGAACATGATCGATTTGGGTTTGATCCCAAATTTAGCCGACTTTTACCCTTTGCTTAGATGCTTTGATCTTCAAGGACTTCGAAAGAAAGCTGCTATCTACAAAAACCAAGTCGATTCTTCGTGGGAAATTCTTATTAAAGAACGAAGAACAATTCATAGTCAAGGCGTTTCAGCTGCGAGCGATTTCTTGGATGTTTTGATCCAAAGTGGATTTACGGATGAACAAATTAGCTACTTGATTGTTGTAAGCGAAAAAACTGTTGATGTCTATTGGTAGGAGGCATTTTGGGAGGCTTAAAACAAAATCACTAGAGCTTATGTTCAAATTGAGCGATATCATATCATTGTGAGAGTGGTAATTTCTAACGTGGTATCCGAGTCATACCCTTAAATCAGCCATGTCACTAGAATCCTTAAATGTCTAACAAAAAAGTTGTGAGCCTCAAATGTGTAGTCAAAAGTGACTCAAGTGTCGAACAAAGGGTATACTTTGTTCCATGACACTGGAGAAAGAGTCGAGTCTCGATTAAGGGGAGGGTGTTCGAGGACTTCATAGGTCTCAAGGAGGCTCTATAGTGTACTTTGTTTTAAGGGGAGACTGTTCGAGGGTTTTATAAGCCTAAGGAGAGGTTCTATAATGTGTTTTGTTCGAGGGAATAGTTATAGGTTTATAAGTAAGGAATGCATCTCTACGGGTACAAAGCTTTTTGGGGAAGCCCAAAGCAGACTCACGACAATATTACACCGTTATAGAGAGTCGTAATTCCTGCCCAAAATAAAAGTTCAAATTTTTTAGATGGATAGTTTTCTGATCAAAGTTTTGATGGGTTATTGCAGGAAGTGTTGTCCGCCGGCACGGATACAACGACCACGACGGTGGAGTGGGCGATGGCGGAGCTGTTGAAGAACAGAGACATAATGAACAGAGTGCGAGAGGAAACAAAGAAGGCAATAAACGGAGGCGCCATTGACGAATCAAAGCTCTCTGAGCTTCATTATCTATGGAAATGCGTGAAAGAAACTCTTCGACTGCATCCGCCTGCGCCATTTCTTCTTCCACGGTATGCTCCAGAAGCTTGTGAGCTTATGGGGTACTCTGTTCCTAAACACACCATGATTTTTGTGAACGTTTGGGGGATTGGGAGAGACCCTTCAATCTGGGAAGATCCTCAATCGTTCAAACCAGAAAGATTTGATGGCTGTGATGCAGATTTGAAGGGTCATGATTATCGATTCCTGCCATTTGGAGGAGGCAGAAGGATTTGCCCTGGGCTTCCCATGGCGGCGGTGCAAGTGCCTTTAATCTTAGCCACCTTGATTCATAACTTTGAATGGTGCCTTCCTAATGATGAGGATGCGTCAACGCTGGATTTGAATGGAAGGCTTGGTGTAACATTGCAAAAGGAAGAACCTCTTAAGCTCCTCTCTAAAAACAGGAATTGATATTATCTTAACGATTATGTATTTGCTTCGATGTTACTTGCATTTCTTACTATGCGACTATGTTATCTATTAAAATATTTCTAAAAGTGAAAATTATCTTAACAAGTTATCATGAGTTATTTCAATATGTTTTGTCTTAGTTCACATGTTTTTTAAAAAATTTCTAGGAGATCATCCAACCTAGAATTATTTAAACTAATACCCGTTTCATTTTGAAATTTTAAAGGGTATTTTTATACAAAGTAGGGCCAATTTACATATAAAATTAATGGTATGGGTATTTTTCAAATTTTTGAAAAAACATCACGAAAAGAGGTAGGGGTAGCTTTAGAAGCACCTTAAGGGTTGGAAACATGTAAATGGACAGGGGACTCGAGGAAATGTTCCCAAGTGGACTATGAGGTTTGATATGTCTTCAATGTCCATAGGAGGACGTGCAGTGAGAGGATGTCTGTAGGTATGGGTCGGTACAGTTATCGTCGAGATAACGTAGCAATTTGGGTAAGTAAAGTGAACACGAGAATGTCCTACCCTGATAATTGGGCATTAGCAACTTTCGAGGACGAAAGTTTTTAAGGAGGGGAAAATTTGTAACACCCGAGCCTCAGCGAGAAATTTAACCCAAAAAAAAAATCTAAATAATTTTAGGATGGCCCATTATAATCCACTCTCGCCGTCAACATTCAATATCTCTAGAAAGTCAACCTTCAATGCCTATAAGAATTTTTTATTTTCTAAGTCCCCATTCAATATTTGTTTATAAAGTCTACTTCAATGCCTATTCTAATTCTCTTTGTCTAAGTCTTCATTTCATCTCTCTCCAAAGTCTACATTTAGTGCTATCATAATTCTCTCTCCAATGCTATTAAAAAAATCAATTTTTTTTTTTTTTACCTCTATGAAGACCGGTCTAGAAGCAACAGTGTGGGCGAGCCTCACGAAACGAGCATCTCGAGATTCTTTCTTTGAAAATGGTCTTTCAAGGATAGTATTAGACAGCATGAGTGTATCGGTATTGCGCTCCAACCCATGTGTTAGAGGTTCGATTATGCACCCTCTATCCGAAACGTATGTTGTAAATGGTTTAGCATGAACACGAAAGAATCTGATGCTTGAGTGATCCTGGATGGATAGATGTTCTAGATGTCTCGATGAGATGATTCTTGTAATTTTATAATACTCATTTTGGTCTTTGCACAACATTTGTTCACTTTTTTCCTATACCGTCGTATATTTTTGAAAGATTCGTCTCCATACTTAAAAAAAAACGATAATTTTAATTTATGTATGCAAGATTGTAACATAAATTTTATATACAATAGAACTGTCCACATAAGGGTAGAGATGGAAAGTTTTTTTTCACTCCCGGTCCCTACCACCTGTTTTAATTTTCATTCTCGTAAAATTTTTGACTTTATTCACGGTACTCCCATTTGCACCTACATAAGGGTCGAGATTATATTATAGGAATCGTAGAATCTCTGACCTCTTAACCAAAAATAAATACATTATCTCTATCCAAACTCTTCGGGTTATCTTTACAACCTTCTGGTTCAGAGCGAGATTCCTCTCGTTAGTGCAATACCCGTGGCTCCCACCTCTCAATCTAAAATTTTTTATGGACGGTTAGAATTTTTTAAATATTTTTTACATTATGTGCGTGAATCCCGCATTGGTTGAGGAAGAGAACAAAACACCATTTATAAGCGTGTTAAAACTTCTTTGTGACAGATGCGTTTTAAAGCCTCGAGGGGAAGGCCTAAAAGAGAAAGTCCAGAGAGGACAATATCTGCTAACGGTGTGCTTCGATTATTATAAATGGTATCAGAGCCAGATACCGGGCGATGTGCCAGCCTTCTCACCCTTCTTTGAAAGAGGGTAGACACGAGGTGGTGTGCCAGCGAAGGAACGTGTAATTTATTTATTGAAGACTAAGAATTTGAGTGGGAACGGGCGAGTAGAGAATGGGTCTTACAAAAGCACTTTTTCTTGCATTTTTCTCAGCCAAAGACTTTGACTGGCTGCATTTTATTTGAATAAGGGTTGGACTTTAATTGAATTATATAAGAACACAACCATGCTGTAAGCCAAATTCATCCTCAACACCCGAGTTCTTAACAAAAATGAGGAAACTTTCCGAAAAATGCTTACATTTATTAGCTCGGTCATTTATGGCGTTACTCCTACTTTCTCTCTCTCGAGTTTCAGCCATAACTTGCATCGAGAAGGAGCGGAATGCCCTCCTCGAGCTGAAGAAAAGTTTTAACGATCCTTCTCATCGCTTGGCTACATGGAATGGAATAAATTGTTGTACGTGGAATGGTGTGGGTTGCAATCAAACTTGTGGATATGTTACTAAGATTGATCTTCGAAGCAAACAGGTTAACTCCAATAAAGTTTTATTCAGTATTTCCATTCATTCTAGTTGGTTTGAGTTCGAAAACTTGAATTACTTGGATTTAAGTTGGAACCACTTTAACTATAGTCGAATTCCAAATTGGCTAGGACAGCTGAAGAACTTGAAGTATCTCGATCTTGAAAACAGTTATGTTTATGGTCCAATTCCTGCTATGCTGGGGAATTTATCTACCCTTGAATATTTAGATCTTTCGAATAACGCTTTAACGGGAGAAACTCCGGTTTCGTTGGGAAGATTATTGAATTTGAGAGAATTGGATTTGGGAGGGAACAGATTGGAGGAGGTAGGTGAGGAATGTTTTATTTGACTTAGAAATTTGGAGGTGCTAGATATATCAAATAACTTACTTAAAGGCGTTCTTGCAGATACTCATTTTGCAAATCTCTCTTGGCTGAATACCGTATTGATCGACTACAACGAGCATCTTTCATTGGACATGAAATCTAACTAGGTTCCTCCTTTTCAATTGAAATTTCTCGATGCAAGTTCGTGTACTCGTTGTTTTGGAAGTGAGCTCCCTCGATGGCTTCAAACACAAAAGGCATTGGTTAATCTACAATTGTCGAATATGAGTATCTCGAGTACTTTTCCAACATGGTTGACATGTCGAAACCTCACCACTTTGGATCTTTCCCACAACCAAATTGTGGGGCCAATTCCAACCAGCATCGACAATCAAATGCCGAATTTGGAGGACTTGTTTCTAAGCACTAATCTTATCAATGATTCTTTACCACTTTCGTTGTGCAAGTTGAAGAATTTGGCATATGTGGATCTTTCGAACAATGGGTTATCTGGAATGGTTCGAGGTTGTTTGTTGACTTCAAAGTTGCGTCTTTTAGATCTGTCATTGAACCAGTTTTCTGAGACTTTTCCACATTCTCATGGAAATGATCTTTCTAATGTTGAACAGCTCAACTTGAGAAGCAATAAGTTTGAGGGATCCATGCCGATTGTCTTGAAGAATTCAAAGATTTTGGAGTTTATAGATCTTGAAGGAAACAAATTCTCGGGAAACATCCCCATATGGGTGGGTGATAATCTTGGAAGTTTGCAATTTCTAAGGCTACGAGATAATTTATTCAACGGTACTATTCCTTCAAATTTGTGCAATCTGAAGAACTTGCAAATTTTGGATCTTGCTCATAATCAGTTAGAGGGAAGTATCCCATCGAACTTCAGCAATTTCAACGTAATGATGGGAAAGGGAAGAAATGAAGTATCTGTGGTTTGTAGGAACGTATTTCCTCAATTATGCGACGGTAAAAAGAAAGTCATACAATCGATCAAGTTAAGCAACTTCAATTACTCGTTGTCACAACTAATGTTAATGGTGAATATAGATCTTTTGAAGAACTACTTGGTCGGTACCATTCCAAGAGAGATAACGATGCTTAAAGGGTTAATTGGATTGAATTTGTCCCACAACAATCTAGTCGGGACGATTCCTACTGAAATAGGAGGACTCGGATCGTTGGAATCACTCGACTTATCTTTCAATCAATTTTCTGGGACAATTCCTAGAAGCTTATCGAAATTAAATTCATTAGGCGTGTTGAGATTATCCCACAACAATTTTTCTGGAGACATTCCTCGAGAGGGTCATCTCTCTACATTCAACGAGGCTTCAAGTTTTGATGGCAATCCTTATCTTTGTGGAAATCCGCTCCATGTGAAATGTGTAAATGAGGATGCATTTGAGCCGCCGTATGGAACTGAAAATCAAGATGAAGAGGATGATAAATGGGAGAAGCGGTTGCTTTACATAATGATAATATTTGGATATGCCGTTGGATTTTGGGGAGTTGTCGGAGTTTTAATATTGAAGAAGAGTTGGAGATATACTTATTTCAAGTTTACAGATGAGATTATACATACGGTCCATTCAGCAATCTGTGTTTCTAAATGAGTTGGTATCATATACAAGATTTCTCGTTTACGTTCCTCGAGTTGAACACAGTTGGTAGAGACGTGCATTGCAATTTGTAAATTAATCTAAGTTGAATTGTTTCGAGCCGAATGAGTTGTTAGCATTGTTTAAAGAACTTAGCCCATTTAACTCAATAAGCACGAGTTTTAAATCATTAACTATAATATTTATAAAAACAATCTTATGCAATTAAATGATATCTAAATTCCATTGCCTTATGATTAAGGCCATAAAAACAGCCTCATGATATTATATTCCACGTCCCGTCTTAAATTCATTTCCACGAGCAAATCAGCTCCTTCATATAAATATTCCAAAAACAAAGCCTCGAGAAGTCAAGAAGTCAAGAACAAAGACCCAAAAACGAAAAGTCGTTTGAATTTGATTTGTTAGACATGGGAGACCAATGGCATCAAAATTCATCTGATTTACCCTCACCCTCAGACGTTATGAATTTTTTCCAAAATGTTCTCGGAGACTATCCTTATGCTCGTGATAATGTTCGAAGCCGGGTTCTATTTTTCTTCAATAATATTCTTTATTTGTGTTTTGTATATTCATAAATAATACTAATCTAAAATGTTTGTAGGAAGTTGTTCAAGAATCATACGACAGGAGAACTTTCAACCGTGGATATCAGAACTTTGGTGGCAGTTCTCAGTATATGAATGATTTCTATCCAAGATTCGAGCACTTACAGATGAACCCAACTTATATCAGTAAGAACCAAACAAACAAAGAATTCATTCCATAGACATTAACTTCCTTAATTTGAGAGGGTAATCAGCAAAGAATAGGACGAAAAAATGACATCATTTTTGTTGTCATTTGCAGGACATGAGGAGGATGACAACAAGGTTGACAAAAAGGATGACAACAAGGTTGACAAAAAGGATGACAAAAATGTGAGCAAAGGATTGTCTAGAGAACTTATGTCGAAGTTGCCATCTCACGAACACAAGGGCAGTTCATCAAAGTGGTTTGGCAAATCCTCTCAAAAGCATAAGTATTGTCTCGTTCTTGCTTCTTGATATCATCTTGTGATACGATCAAAATCATTTTTTATACTAAGTATCGTAACATAAAAGCACTCAAGAAAATTTCACTAAGAGTTAGTTCTAAATCCAAATATCGGCTTACCCTTCTATTAGCTTATCAAGGACACGTTTGATCACTGAGTCAATATCCCGTCGTATTTATCTTTCTACTGATGCTTATAGCTGCTCCCCATCCTTCGTAGGGTGGTATTGCTCCGCTCTAAAAGTAGCTTTCGAGAATAGGAAACCGAGCCCGAAAGCTAGATCGAGCATAATTTTATGAATAAAACATTGTAAATTTTTATATTTAATATATTAGACTTGAACTTAAAATTAATTTTGTGTATTTGTGTGTTGGGTAGGTGTGCCATATGCAATTTGAAGTATAAGGGGAAGGACAAAGTGACAACTTTACCCTGCGACCATAAATACCATCAACATTGTATCTTCAATTGGTTGAAGGATAATAAAGTAATTCCACCCATCAATTCTCTTTTTTTGTTTTTTTTTTAATTCAACAAAACTCTTCTAAATTTTTTTGATTTATTATAACATTAATTGAATTGTGATATAATTTTGAATATTTATAGTTCATTTTTTAAAATTTTAATTTATTTACTATTTTTTTCTTTTTTATAAAGAAATAAATTTATTATTTTTTTTAAAAAAAATTAAATTGGTTTTCTCATATTTAAAAATTCGAAAATTTTAATTAATTTATTTATTTTGTAATATTTTTTCATTTATTTAATTTACTAATATTTTTCTAAATTTTATTTTATTTATAATATAAAACAGAATTGCTGCATGTGTGAGAAAGAGGTGGTTATATCTTGAAGCATCAACACCGGCAAATGGAAGAGGAATTATTTGATTATTATTATTATTATTATTATTTTATTTTTTTATTGTCAAAATATTTATAATATGTATTTTTTTAAAGTTCTCTTATATATGTAATAATTTCAAGATTATAAGAAATTATTTTATTAATAAAAATATCAATAAAGTATAATTAAATATATTTTAATACTTTAAATTTTGACCTTATTCCCAAGTATGGGTCGCTACAAATATCTTGATCAGACGGAAACCGATATTTGATGTTTCTGAAAGACTCTACCATACTTCGGGTTCGGGTCATGATAACCCATTGTTTAAATGGGCTCAAATGGATTTGGGCCGAACTATTTAATGGGCTCAATTGAAAAACATGGGCCCAATATCTTTCTAATTTTTAAATTTAATTAAATAATTAAATTTTAACTTGTAATGAAGCCACACGTGTGATTGTTTTATTGCTCGTGTCATTCGCACGTAGAAATCTGACAGTCTGTCACTGTCTCTTGACTAGACTCTCTTCAGGCCAGAATCGCCTACGGCCTGATTCTCACGAACATGTAGAACTATAGTCTAATGATATTTTGCCACGTTGCATAGTCAAAACTAAAAGTGAGGAGGCAGTAGAAAACTGGACAGTGTTTAGGGTAGAAACGGCCGCAGGTGATCCATACTGCTAAACAGTGACGGAGCTGCAATGAATCATGATACATCATAAACAAAACATGAGATCAGCCAATGGCTTTTCGACACGTGTCTGACGATCTTTTTTCTCTAAACAGTGTAATGAGAACCGACTCCGTTTGAACCAAATCTAAGAGACGTGCCGAACGCGTTACCGTCAGTAGCCGGTGCCACAAGACTGGCTACCGGTGAAATCGGTCACTTGGATCCCGGCGATTCCCGCTATGTATATAACTGGCACCCCCTTTCTCAATTCTTTCTTCTTCTTCATCTCTCTCTCTCTCTCTCTCTCTCTCGGATTTCATTTCTTCGAATTCACAGCGAAGCGAAGGTTTATCTCCCATTTCTTGTCTGGTTTCAGCCACTTTTCCGCTTTTCAAGGTTGGTAGTCAAACTTCTGTCGTTTTTGCTTTAAATGGTTTTTATAGCTGCTTAATTTTGTTGTTCGTTCTGTGTTTTTTTTTTATTTTGTAATCGGTTCGGATTTGGATCCTCTTTTTCTGTGCTCATGGCTACTTTGCCCTTTTTTCCTTCTGTTCGTTCTTTGCTTCTTGTTCGTGTTCTTTTTCTTGCTTGATCTTCTCCCTTTTTTTGGATTTCAATGCTTAATTTAACTTTAGCTATGGGTTTTTGGAGGCGTAGCTCTCTGTCTATTTCTTTCTTTTATAGATTGAGCCGTGGTGATTCGAATAGCAGTTTGAGTTCTGTAGCAGGGTGCGATATAATTTAATTTCTGTTCTTTGTGGCTAAGATAGGTTAAATGTTTGGTCGTGGAAGTGCTTATTTGGATTAAGTTTTTGTCTCCCATTTTGAGCCTCTGTCACTTGTGAAAGCTACTTACATTTGGGGAACTGGTTTTTATTTTTTAGTGGCCGTTGGTGTGTTTCTTTTTTTATCCCGATGCTAATGCTCTTGTTTTGTTTATTTAACCTCAGGGTCTTCTGCCTATTGTGAAAATAGCGACCAGGGTCGCAGATCACAGGCATATTTGGATCTGGTGGTTAAGAACTTGTAGGAGATGTGATTATTGATTGCTAACTTTAAGAATTAGGGGTCAGTTTATTCTCAATATTTTTAGTTGAGTACTGAACGCCTCCTTTGTTGTTCGATCATGTGTTTTTTAGATTCGTGGATGTCTATGAGTAACATGCTGGGTTCAGACTCAGCTGCGATCAATCTTCCTTGAAGTTCGAGTTTTGGGGGTTTTTTTTACCTATGGATTTTGTTTAGAAATCATATTTGGTTGGTGGGTCAGTAATATTTTGTTGTAGTAATTAGTGAAGACTGGCTCTAGAGAGCTACTTGGACGCTGGCCACCAAGGACTGGTGCCCCCAATGGCATCTTCTCGAGTGGCTGGAGGATTAGCGCAGTCTTCCTCAAGTTCTGGGATTTTTTTCCAAGGAGATGGGCAGTCCAAGGGTACTATTAAATCTCACTTGGGCTCATCTTATGGAAATTCATCAAATTCAATTCCAGGAGCTGGCCATTCAAATTTTGGTCCTGTTTCTGGGGACACAAATAATGGAGCGTTGAATAGTGTGGCTAACTCAGGACCAAGTGTTGGGGCAAGTTCTTTGGTTACAGATGCCAACTCTGCACTTTCAGGTGGGCCTCACTTGCAGAGAAGTCCAAGCATGAATGCAGAATCATACATGCGATTACCTACATCGCCTATGTCTTTTTCATCAAATAACATGGGTATCTCAGGTGCATCACTCATTGATGCATCTTCTGTAGTGCAGCACAATCCTCAGCAGGATCATAATGCCACTCAATTGCCACAGACCCAGCCACAGGCCCGACAAGTTTCTCCAGGGGATGCATCACTGTCTAATTCACAAACAGCCCAAGCTTCACTCCCCATGGCTGCACGTGTCTCTGGATCGCTGATGACAGATCCCAACAGTTATTCTCAGTTACAGAAGAAACCACGCTTGGATATTAAGCAGGATGATTTCCTGCAACAGCAGATGCTACAACAGCTACTTCAAAGACAAGATTCCATGCAACTGCAAGGTCGTAATACACCTCAGTTACAAGCAGCATTATTTCAGCAGCAACAGAGATTACGGCAGCAGCAACAAATGTTTCAGTCTTTGCCTCCTTTGCAGAGAGCTCATCTGCAGCAGCAGCAGCAGATACAGTTGAGGCAGCAACTTCAACAGCAAGCAATACAACCTGTGAATGCTATGAAGCGGCCTCATGATGGTGGTGTATGTGCTCGGCGGCTAATGCAGTACCTATACCATCAACGTCAAAGGCCTGCTGTGAGTTCATCTTCTGTCTTCTTCTTTTGTTTCTTGGGGTTATGATCTGCATATTTATGAACAAGTCTTCTTTCATGAATTTATGTTTACTTTTATCCATTTCCATGTAAATATTTTAGATTCTATTTCGCATCATCTTTTTACATGTACTTTTTAAAGCTGAATATCAACTATTACATTTATGACTTCTGATAGGATAATAGTATTGCCTATTGGAGGAAGTTCGTGACAGAATATTATTCCCCTCGTGCAAAGAAAAGATGGTGTTTGTCATTATATAACAATGTTGGTCATCACGCACTTGGTGTTTTCCCTCAAGCAGCCATGGTAAGTTTTGCCTACCTTGGTATATTTGTGGGAATTTGATTAATCTTTGTACGAAGGGAATATTTTGTGATCTGTAGAATTGGTTGGTGTGCAGGCTGTTAGAATGATGTCTGCTATTTTTATTTTGTTATTCCAATTAGATAGTCGTGACATGTAGCTTCTCCCCCTAATTCTCCCTTGTGATCTATATTTCAGGATGCATGGCAGTGTGACATTTGTGGTTCTAAATCTGGACGGGGATTTGGTATGATACTCATGACCTTCTTTATATTACTTATAGATAATTGAGTTCTCCAAATTAATGACGTGTAATGTGTAAATACTGTCGGTAACAAACGAGGGGCTGTTGTAGAGGTTTAGCAGATTATCTTGATATGATTAGGGTTTGTCTGATTGTTTGACTCTTAGTAGTATACCTTGTGCCTTCTTTTTTGAGGTTTCTTTTGAGTTTTGGATATGAACATGGACCTGGTGAACGAGTGATCCAGTTTTAAAACCATCTTATCCTAACACGCATATTTGAGGGTTTTGCAATGGGAATGACGGGAGATTAGACTGCATAGTTTTAGTATGCAATTAGGTATATGATAAGGGTATTTAGTAATTAGTTAGAGAGGTGTTTATGGAGTTTAGTATACACAGAGAGAGTGAAGGGGGGGGGGGGGG